CCTCAACCCCCACTCTTTCTCCCACCACCCCCCACTCTTTCCCTCCACCCCAACTCCTTCCCACACACCAACACCTACCCTCCACCCCCACACCTTCAGCATCCACCCCCACTCCCTTCCCTCCACACCATACCCTAAACTCCGACCCCCTCTCCTTCCCTACACCTCCAATCCCTTCCTCCGCCCCCCCTCCTTCCTCAAAACCCCCACACTTTTCCTTCACCTCCCACTCCTTCCCTCCCCACCCCCCCACCTTCCCTCAACCCCCACTTTCCTCAACCCCCACACCTTCCCCTCAACCCCCCACTCCTTCCCTCCACCCCACTTTTCCCTCAACCCCCACTCCATCCCACCACCCTCACACCATTCCCTCTACCCCCTCTCCCTCTCCATCCCTACTCCTTCACCTCCACTCCCACTTCCAACCCTCCATCTACTCCTTCCCTCCCCACCAACTCCTTACCCTCCGCCCCCACATCCTTCCCTCACACCCCCATCTCCCTTCCTCCACTCCCACTCCATCCCTCCACCCGCCACACTCCTTTCCCTCCACCTCCAATCCATCCCTCCGCCCCCCACGCCTTCCCACAACTCCACACCTTCCTTCCACCCCCCACCCTTATTCCCTCCACCCCACTCCTTCCCTCAACCCCACTCCTCAAACCCCACTCCATCCCACGCCCCACCCTTCCCTCCACACCCCACATCTTCCCTCAAACCCCCACTCCTTCCCTCCAACCGCATCCTTCCCTCAACCCCCCCCCCTTCTCTCCACCCCTACTCCTTCCCTCCACTCCCACTCCTTCCCTCACTCCTACACCTTCCCTCCACTCCCCACTCCTTCCCTCTACCCCCCACCTCCTTCCTCCACCCCTACTCCTTCCACCACTCTCCCACTTCCTCCCTCCACTCCTACTCTTTCCCTCCACTCCTATCCTTCCCTCCACTTCCCACTGCCACCCTCCACCAGGACCCCCCCAACCCACTCCTTACCTTCCACCTCCCACTCCTTCCCTCCTCTCCCACTCCTTCCCCTCCACCCTACTCCTTCCATCCACTCCTCCACTTCTTTCCCGAAAACTCCCACTCCTTCCACCCTCCACTTCCCACTCCTTTCCTCAACCCCCCACTCCTTCCCTCCACCTCCCCACTCCTTCCCTCCACTCCTATCCTTCCTCCCTCCACTCCTACTCCTTCCCTCCACTCCAACTCCTCCCTCCTCCCCCACTCCTTCCAGCCACACCCACTCCTTCCTCCACCCCACTCCTTCCCTCCACTCCACTCCTGCCCCTCCACTCCACTCCTTCCCTCCACCCCACTCCTTCCCTCCACTTTCCCACTTATCCTTCCCTCACACTCCACTCCTTCCCTCCACCCCCACTCCTTACCCCCTCCTCCCCACTCCTTCCCTCCACCCCCCACTCCTTCCCTCCACCCCCCAACCCTCCCCTCCACACCCACTCCTTCCCTGCCACTCCCACTACTCCTTCCCTCCACCCCCAGTCCTACCCTCCGCTCCACTCCTTCCCCTCCACCCCCACTCTTCCCCTCCACTCCTACTCCTTCCCTCCCTCCCACACAACCACCTCCCTCCACCCCCACTCCTTCCCCTCAACACTCCCCACTCTTCCCTCCACCCCACTCCTTCCCTCCCACCCTATCCTTCCTTCCCCTCCCACTCACCTTCCCTCCACACCACTCCCTTCCTCCTCTCCTACTCCTTCCCACCGCACCCACTCCTTCCCTCCACCCCACCCCCCCACTCCTTCCCATCACATCCCACTCCTTCCCTCCTCACATCTACACCTTCCCTCCACTCTAACACCCTTTCCCTCCACCCCACCCTCCTTCCCTCCGCTCCCACTCCTTCCCCACCACACCTACTCCTTCCCTTCCTCCCACTCCTCCTTTCCCTCCACTCCTATCTCCATCCCTCCACATTCCCACTCATTCTTATCCTCTCCTCTCTTCCCTCCAACCCCACTACCTCCCTCCACTCCCAACTCCTTCCCTCCCACTCCTATCTCCTTTCTCCCTCCCCCCCCACTCCTTCCCTCCCCTCCCACTCCACCTTCCTCCACTCCCTACACCTTCCCTCAACCCCCACTCTGGTCCTTCCCTCCACCCCCCACACCTTTTCCCTCAACCCCCACTCCACCCCCCACCACTCCATACCCTTCCCTCCACCCCGAACTACCATCCCTCCACTCCCACTCCTTTTCCCTCCCCCTCCCACTCCTCCTCAACCCCCACTCCATCCCCTCCACTCCCACTCCTTCCCTCCACTTTCCCAACTCCTTCCCTCCCCTCCTACACCTTCCTCCACTCCTACTCCTTCCCTTCCACTCCCACTGTCTCCTGACCCCTCCTCCCCCACTCCTTCCTTCCAATCCCACCCTCCCTCTACTCCGACTCCCTCCCCCCTCCACTCTCCCACACCTTCCCCCACTCACACTCCTTTCCTCCACTCCCACTCCTTCCCACAAAAAACCCCCCACTCCTACCCTCCACTCCCACTCCTTCCCTCCACTCCCACACCTTCCCTCCCCTCCTACTCCTTCCACTACCACACAACTTCCTTCCCTCCACTCCACTCCTGCCCTCCTCCCCCCACTCCAACCCTCCACTCCCACATCCTTCCCTCTACTCCTACTTGCCGATTCCCTCCCACGCCCACTCCCTTTCCCTCCACTTCCACTTCTTCCCACCACCCCCACACCTTCCCATCCCCCCACTCCTTCCCTCCCCCCTCCTCTCCACCCCCACACCTTCCCTCCACTCCCCACTCCTTCCCTCCACCCCCTCCCAGTCCTTCCCTCCGCTCCCACAGATATCCTACCCCTCCACCCCCCCACTTCCTTCCCACCAATCCCACTCCTTCCCTCCACTACCTACTCCTTCCCTCCCCACTAGATCTCCAACCTCCACTCCCACTTCCTTCCCTCCACTCCTACTCCTTCCCTCAACCCCACTCTTTCCCACCACCCCCCACACATTCTTCCCTCAACCTTCACTCCTTCCCTCCAACTCCTACTCCTTCCCTCCACCCCACACCATCCCTTCTCACACCCCAAAAACACCATCCCTCCACTCCCACTCCTTCCCTCCACACCCACTCCGTCCCTCAACCCCCTTCTCTTATCCCTCCACATTCCAACTTCATCCCACCACTCACCCACTCCATCCCTACACTACCTACAACCTTCCCTCCACTCCCACACCTACCCACCCCTTCCACTCCCAATCCAATCCCTCCGCCCCACACTCCTTTTCCCTCTACCCAACTCTTTTCCCTCCTCTCCCACCACCTTCCGTCCACCCCCCACTCCTTTTCCTCCACTCCCACTTCTCCTTCCCTCCACGCCCTCCACTCCATTCCCCCCCCACCCCCATCCTTTCCCTCCATTCCCACTCCTTTCCCTCCACCCCCACTCCTACCCCCTCCACTCCCACTCCTTCCCCCCTCCACTCCCACTCCTTCTTTCCCTCCACCCCTACTCTTCCCTCCACTCCTACTCCTCCCTCAACCCCCACTCCTTCCATCCACCCTCCACACCCCACACTTCCCTCAAACCCCACTCCTTCCCTCCACTCTACTCCTTCCCTCTCACCCTCACACCTTCCCTCCACTCCCACTCCTTCCCTCAACCCCCACTCCTGTCCCCCATCTCCCACTCCTTCCCTCCACTTTCTTTCTCCTTCCCTCCAACTCCCACTCCTTCCCTCCTCCCCCACTCCTTCCTCCACCCCCCACTCCTTCCCCTCCCCACCACCTCCCACACCTTCCCTCCACTCCTACTCTCCTTCCCCTCCACTCTCACTCCTTCCTCCACTCTCCACTAGATTCTATCCTTCCCCTTCTCACTCCCACCCTTCCCCCCTCAACCCCCACTCCTTCCCTCCACTCCTACTCCTTCCCTCCACCCCTATCCTTTTCTCCAACCCACTTTTCCCCCTCTACTCCCACCCCTTTCCCCCCCTCCATCCTTCCTCACCTTCCCTCGCCATTCTACTTCCCTCGTCACTCCAGTGATTAACTCATCCTGGGACAGAAGCTTTGAAGTCCCCCATTGCTGAATCCATAATCGAATACCACGATATCCTCCCGTCCCGCTGAAGTCTCCCAGATCCAGTGTATGTTCAACACTTGTATACGGCCCTCCTGAGTGGGTCTGTGACATATACAGCCCCCCTAGTGGGTCTGTGACGTATACAGCCCACCTGAGTGATGGCTTGAATATACAGTCCCCTCCCGGGTGGTTGTGACAGTTACAGCCATCCTGAGTGATGGGCGTGACAGAAAAGCCCCCTCCTGGTGATGGTCTTGACAGTATCAGCCATCCTTGGGGGGTCTGTGACAGTATACAGCCCCTCCCGAGTGATGGGCTGTGCAGTATTCACCTAATTCCC